CTCCTCCTCCTCCTCCCTCCTCCTCCTCCCCGCGCTGCCCCTGCCCCCTCTCCTCTCCTCCCCTTTCCCTTCGCGCCGCTCGCTCGCACTCGCGCTCGCTCCTCTCGCACCGTCAGTCACTCACACACCCGCGCCCGCACACAGGGGGACGTGCTCCCGGCGGGCCGGGCCGCCCGCCCCGGGGCCGGCGGGAAGACGGCGTGGCTGGGGCCGGGAAGCTGCACGGTGGCTGGCGGGGAGGGGAGGCGGAGGGGAATGCGGCTTTCTGCCTCTCTCAGACACTCGGTCGCACACTCGGGGCCGGGGGCCGGCGGCGGCGGCGGCGGCCCCAGGCGGGCTGTGGTCGGCGGCGGCAGCAAGGGTTGCTCTCTCTCGGCTTTACGTACCAGTCATAGTGTGTTTAGGGCACCTCAGGCGGGGCTCCCCGCCGCCTTACACATGGTGAGGAGCGAAGGCGGCGGCGGCGAGAGAGGATGCGGGAAGCGGCGGCGGACACGGCCGGAGCGGTCCGGGGATTTTTTTTCCTATTTTGATTGACTGTGCGGGAAACACAAAAGGTGGAGCCTCCAGCCCAAAAGGGGGGAAGAGGGTGACAGCCTGCCCGGAAGTTCCGCCCCTCTTCTTCGCTCTCATTCGCCGCCGCGCTCTCCGTCGGCTGTGCTCATTGGTCCGGGCGCCCGTCCGTCGCTCGGCCAGGCGGCGCGCTTCCTGTTTGCCCCCCGGGTGGAAGGGGAGAGACAATGAGCGGCCGAGGCGGCGTAGGCTCCCGAGAGCGGCTAGGGCTCGTCCGTTACCCCGCTGCGCCCGCCTCGTTTGCCGGCTGCCGCTGCCAAGCCCTAGGCGCAGGCCTCTTTCGCCTCGCTGGCGCTCGGAGCAGGCCCCGCCAACCTGTAGAGGAGCTGAGCTGGGGACGAAGTCCGTCCCCGGTGGCTTCGGCGCCACTCGACGTTCTTCCATCGCGGCGCAGCCTCGGCGGGCTCTCCCCAGGGCCTCGGGCGCTGCGAGCCCCGCTCCCTGGCGCTGCCAGGAGGCCGCCGCCGCTCAGCCCCGGGGTTCTGCCGCAGCCGCTGCAGCTACTGAGCAGAGCAGATCCGCCCCGCGGGCCCGGGGGGAGGGCGCTGGTATTGGGGGAGACACCCCCTCCGAGGCTGGAGGAGGATTTCCCTCTCACGTTCAGCGCGGATTCTCAGTGGAGCCATCTCGTTCTTATCCCTCTAAGCCGCAGGCTTCCATCGTCTCCCACTTTCACCTCCCCAGGAGGCAGGCATTTTAAAGCCAAAAAAGTAATCTAGTCACCTTACATATGGGAAGAGACGTTTAGCTCTGGCCAGTGACACCAAGACCGAGACTTAAAGGTAATTTTATTTTCTATGTAGCAGGTATGTTAAAGACACAAAATCCTTTCATTTAAAAACTCAGTTTGCTGTACACACATCAGTTTCCTGCTTCTTCATCCTCTTAATACCAAATCAGGTGTTACCTCCTAAAAAATGCGATTAACAGTTGCCAACATTTTAAAACAGTGCCTCACACTGAAGTTCCCTCCAGCCTATGGACCATTAGTTATCCTCTAACTAAGCCTTGTTTTACTTATTGGATTAGGTTAACGGTCCTTTCCTCCTTGGTTTCCTTGATAGCTTTTGGTCATCCTCGGAGAAAATGCTCAGGTTTTATGTGTGTACTCTGCCAGGCATCTTTATTACCTGTAGGTGTGCTTGCCAGGGAGAGGTTAAATTCAAGAAATGGAAACAGTGTCCTCAAAACTCAGTGTCCAATTATTGTGATGATTCTTTTGTGTAATAAATGAGGTTGTGCTGGGAGAATGAGGTTGTGAGGTCCAAGCATTTGAACTAGATTTCGTGTGCACTGACTAAAAAAAAAATATTCTTAATCTTTTGCATCTCAGTTCCAAAACACTTATACTGTGATGGGTGTGGTGGCAAACACTTGTAATCCCAGCACTCCAGAAACTGAGGCAGGAGAATCGCCAGGAGTTTGAGGCCAGCGTGTACTACATAGTGAGTTCAAGCCCAGCCAAAACTATATAGTGAGACCGTGTCTCAAGAAACAAAAACAAGTGGCATACGCCTGTAATCCCAGTACTTGGGACGCTGAGGCAGGAGGATCGTTGAGAGTTCGAGACCAGCCTGCTCTATGAAGTGAGCTCAAGGCCGGCCTGAACTGCATAGTGAGGGCCTGTCTCAAAAAGAAAAAAAAAAAAAAATTGCCCCCTATACTCACAGAATGAGAAACATGCGTACTTGCCTGTAATTGTGCAAAAGATCAGCTTTCCAGGGAACTGGCTTAAAATCGGACAACTGTACGTATACAAAAACAAGACTCAAAATTCTGAGTTTGGAAGAGGGGCTGAAGGGAAGGGAGGGGAGGGGAGGGAAATGGGAAAAAAGAAGGAAGACACATCATGTACAGGTACAAATTCCCTATGATGAGTGTGATCACTGTATTTCTAAAATGTACCAGTAAAATTTTTAAAAATTCTGAGTTCAAGCACAGGATTCATCTTTTCTAATATTTATTTCTTTAGGTCTGATATTTAGAAGGATCACAAACATTTAAATAGTACAAATGGGGTGCTCTTTTACACTTTTTTGGAGACAGTCTCACTAGTGTAGGCTGGCCTTGAACTGTCTCTGTGTTCCTTTTGCAAAGGGTTAGGAAAATCACCATAAACAGCAGAGTACTTAGCCACAGAATCAAATTCATCTTCTTTGATATTAATGGACAAATGACATGAGATTTTCTTTTTTTTTTTCTTTTTTTTTGTCCATCGACCTTTCTGACATACAAAAACGCTTCTAGCTAGGCATGGTGGCATACATCTATAACCCCAGCACTCAGGAGGCTAAGGCAGGAGGGTTGCCTCAAGTTTGAGGCCAGCAAGAGCTACATAATGGGTTCAAACTACAAAGTGAGACCCTGTCTCAAAAACAAAAGCCAAAAAAAAACAACCCACACCCTTCTGATCCTTTTGGAAAAGAGGAAATAACATACCTGAATTCTGCTCTTGATGTCAGCTCTTAAATGATACAAATAGCAACAACATCACTCAAACTACTGCGTGAAAATGGCTGGAAATGGAGATAATTTATTGAAAGACCTTCATTATTGCAGTATTGTAGTCAAATCATGAAATACAGTTTAATTGAAAGATACTTATTTTCAGCTGGGCGTGGTGGCACACGCCTGTAATCCCAGCACTCCAGACACTGAGGTAGGAGAATCGTTGGGAATTCAAGGCCAGCCTGGGCTACAGAGTGAGCTCAAGTTCAGCCTGAACTGCATAGTGAGACCCTGTCTCAAAAAGACAAAAAAAAAAAAAGAAAAGAAAGAAGGAAAGATACTTATTTTCTTAGTAGAAGGCACATACTTCTGTATTTCTGTAGGAACCCCAAGGTGCTTAACGAAGAGAAGCACTGTGCTGAATATTGTTTGTGTATCTTCCTTTCCCAGATGACTTGAAGTTGCTTACATAAGAGATCTGGGTGTCACTTTAATTTTCCTTTCCCTTTTTACATTTTTTTTTGAAAGTTTTCTTAATTCTGTGGAAATCTGATAAACTTTGAAATTCCTTAAAGTCATCTAGGCACCAACTGACTTGAATCTAACTGCTTTCTCCTCTACAAAGAGACAAAACCACTAAATTCAATCAGCATCTGCGAGAGCCTCGTCATTCTGCATTAAAAAAATCAGCCTGTGCTGGTTAATGGGCCACACCTGAAGGACTCTGCCCTTTGCTTCACGGTCCCCACTTCCTCGGACTCTTCTGTCAGTCTCGCCAGTCAACACCAAGGCTCCTCAAGCGATCAGTTTGAATGATTCACCCATCCATTATTTCAAAAACAAAAGATAAGGAAGACACAACAGGGGTGAGGGGTATACCTGGGTAGAGGAGAAGAGCTTAGCATGTGTGAGACCCTGGGTTCAATCCCCAGGACCCAAAAAAGGGCACTATGAAGGAAACAAAATCAGTATATAAAGCAAGTCTTCTTTAGAATGTGAGCTTCTTGTGTCAGAGGTCATATATTCTGAACGCTTCAAACAGTACATGAATGTTGTCACTGTCTGATACTAAGCAGAAAGATTATCAAGAAGTATCTTGGAAAATGAGTGATGATTAAAAGCTTTAAATTAACTGATAATACTGTATGATAAAATTTATTTGACCTTATAATAGTTTACCTCTTTCAAGATCAAGTTCTCTGAATGAGTTAGGCCCGAATTTTCATTCATGCTCCACACCAAGGATATTACAGTCCTACAAAAATGGCTGATGTCCTCATAACTTAAGAAGTCTCACATTATGTACTGCAAACATTACTAATAAAAATTAAAAGTAAAAAAAAATATCAGTGTGGTGGTATGCACCTATAATCCCAGCATTTGGGAGGCTGAGGCAGGAGGATCCCCTTGAGTTTGAGGCCAGTCTGAGCTGCACAGCAAGACCTTGCCTCAAAAGACAAAGAAAACTTATCTGAGCATTATGGGGCACATCTGTAGCTCCAGCACTCTGGTAGACAGAGGCAGGAGAATGACAAGTTCAAGCCTGGCCTGGGCAGCTTGGCAAAACCCTATTTCAAAATAAAAAGGGCTTGGAATGAAGTTCAATGGAAGGACCCTGGATTCAACCCTACACTGGGGGAAAAAGTTAAGAAAACTTGTTCTCTTTATCCAGGCAATTGAGATTCCTTGATGTTCCAAATTTTCTAATTATCGACAACACTCCTAAAGTTAACTTTCTGTCACTTCTGGAAGTGTGGTCAACTGACATTAGATTTCTAAATTAAGGGCACTTTTCCAAGGAAAGGTGGTTTATGTATTTCTACCTTGTTAATAACTGTCTTAGAAGAATACAGAAGGCTAGAACCATCTTTTGTTTGTGAAATGGTTGATGCATTGTTTCAACTTGAGAAGGTTAGAAGTTTAACTGAAGGACTCAGCAGAGGGCCAGGTCCTCACTTTGTAAGCATTCTCAGCCTGTGCAAGAGGAGGTCATGGAGATGATTGCTTTGGGTGCAGAGGACCCCCACTAGGGCGGGTAGCCTGCATGCAACATAAGGAGGAAGAGAGGCTTGCTCTCCTAGTTTCTGCTCGTGTTGCTTTTGCTGGCTTCCACCATGAACTGTTGCCCCTGTGTCCTGCCACCTGCCTTGGAGCCAGCTAATGATGGACTGAAACCTCCACAAACTATAAGCTAAATAAACCTTTCCTTCCTTAAGTTTGGGCATCAGATGTTTTGTCTCAGCAAGGAGAGAAAAGTAACTATGACAGAATTTGGTGCCAGCAATGAGTTCAAACCCATGTGGAGATAGGGCTGTTTACCCTCTAGGATATTATACTGGCTGATACATTGTGTCAACCTGAGAAGTTTATAAGTTTAACTAAGTGACTCAGCAAGGGGCCAGGGTCCTCACTCTGTAAACATCCTCAGCCTGAGCAGGAGGGCAGTGAGATGGTATGAGTGCTACACCTGCCCTAGGGTCACAGGCAACCACATACAGTATAAGGGAAGAAAAGAGGCTTGCTCTGCCCTCCTTTTTGCCCTTGTTGCTTTTGCTGTCTTCTGCTGCCATGAACTGGTGTCCTCTGCCATGCCACCCTGCCTTGGAGAGCCTGCCTTGGAGGTCCACCCTTACAATGGACTGAAACCTTCACAAACTGTGGGCTAAATATACCAAATTTTGGGCATCAGGTGTTTTGTCCTAGTAATGAGAGAAAAGTAACTAAGACAGTTTGTAAGTTAGAAAATTTAAGAGATGGGCTTACTTGAAGAATAACCTAACTGAAATGTGATGTCCTTAAACGATAACCAGCAACCTTCAGCTTCCAGTGTATTCACACAATTTCATGATTCAGTCTCTGTTATAAGAGAATTTTTTTCTTTCCTTTAATCCTAAACCAAGCAGTGCATCAACTAAGCCCCCAAAGAGCCAGCTATA